TTTATTTTATCACTCTCAGGGATTTTCACGGCCATAAATTCTCACCATGGCCTTCTTGTCTCTTTTGTCATCTTAAACATCCCTCTTGGCTGGGCTCAGTGCACAGCAAGGTCCTGCAAAATGCAGTGCCATTCCAGGCTGCCTTGAGCTATACAGTGGCTGCTGACTGGTGGAAGGGGACAGGGCCCAGCTGAGAGCAGCCAACCTCGGCCTCTGCCTCCATGTCTCATCGAGTGGAGCCCAGCAAAGCTGGACACAAGTCACGAAACAAGCGCTGTCGTGCTCTGCATCGCTCCTTGCAATCCCCTTCACCATTACTCCAGCAGGTAGCCAACTCCAGCTTTTCCACACAAGGGCTACGTTTAAAATTTGAGAGTTTTAATATTCTTATTTTATGAAATCTCTTATTGGTGAACATCTCTAAAACTCTTATCCACTACGTATCATGTTTGTTTGGCTTATGAAGCAAATCTTCAGAACGTTTTTGAAGCTCTTAAGGTTTTATCCTGTAGTACAAAAAAGCTCTTTACAGACATACTGCTCTAGACGATGACACTTTTTTTGAGAATCATATTTCTACATTTCCAAGATGTTTCTACATGTCCAAGATACAACATGTTGCCTCTGTCTTAGCCTGATTCTACTTTCCCCAGGGGAATCCAACGTGCAAAAAACAGGCCTGAAACACACAACATAAAATACAGTTGGCTCCCAGTAAATAGTTCGTGTCTCTCATTATGTAATTCTCCCCGTACGTGCTGAATTTCCCTTCGAACAGACGCGAGCTCTCTGGCCAGGCCAGGAGCTGCAGAGGGCCTGGGAGCCGGCCCCAAGCCGACCTGCGCCCGGCCGGCCGAGGCACCGCAGCCTCTGCAGGCGCCAGCCAAGTCGGAGAGACAGGGTCTTTCCTTTTTAAGAGGGAAAAACTCTACCACAACATTTTTTTTTAAAAAAAAAGCTGTAATGATGACTACAAGGATTTGCTGCTTTGTTTTTAAACTACAATGACAAACAACTGATAACACTCCATTATCTTTGCTGAGATTCCTGGCGTCCCCAAACGTGCTATACTGCTCTTACTTTATACCTTATATACTTCATATCTCATAGGAGGTATACCTGTTGTAAAATTATGGCTTTTTTATTCTTGTTATGCCTAGCCGCACCCTTTCACTTTCAAATTTCTTCTTCTTCACCTATATTCCAGGAAATATTTATTCAAACACATAAAGATGTTCAAAGTTTGGACTTCTGATTGGCTACAGATTGATATTCTCTAATCTATTTGGCATTGATCTCCTAACAAATCTGCAAAGAAAACAAACATGTAGAGAAGAGAAAAATGTAGACAGGAAAAATCTGTGCCTATAATAGGGAAAGAAGACACCTATTAATTTAGTCTTCCTGCATAATTTGTGTTTTAGTACTTCCATACAATTTAAAATACAGTTTTAGAGCAGGGAGATCATTTTCATCCAGGGAGACACAGTTTGAGAAATGACCTCTGATTCTGTGAGGAAAAACTCCAACTTATAATTTACTTAACCAATTGTATTTGCATATCTAGATGCAAATACATTAGGGCTATTAATTTTATTTTTCATCACAGCTTTTTTCTATTGTTGTTGCTGTTTGATATTTGAGAGAGCGCTCCTGGGAGAGGAAACAGCACCAAGCTCGGGTGTGCTGCCGTGATATTAGGTGATTAATCAGAAGTTCTGGGATGGAGAGGAAGACTTTCAAATACAGTAATAAAACCACTTCGTCCTTGTAGTGACAACAGTCTCTTGAGGAATGACTGATGTAGGGGACTTAGCTGTGTGATCCAGCCTTCTTCACCGACAAAACAAAACAACTTGACGACTCTGAACAGCTACGAGGCGAAGGTCATTCAGAGCCTTAGACTTAATGCTCAGCCACATTTATCAAAACTGCAGTGTTTCGAGGAACACAGGCAGGATTTTTTTCACCCTGCATGAATATAGCACTTCAGAGAGCTCCTCAGGCACTTCCAAATACTTAAGAAATGCTGCATAAAATCATATAGATGTTTTTGAAGTCCTGGTATAGGTCTCAAAAGCTGCATTCTGTGATTTTAGACCATCATCATCAAAGAGCAATTCTCTCATTACTATATTAAATAATAGCAGTTCTGCAGCATTTCTCTCTGTATTGAGCCTAGAACACTTTTTTTTTTAAAAGACACCTGCATTACACTTTGGGTTTTTTCTTATTTTTTTTTTTTTTCTGTCTCGGCTTTCAAAGCAAACAAGAGACTTCATTCTTCTCCATTACCTCTGACTGCTTGCAAGTTGCTTTTCTTGGAGTATTTCACAAAGCCTACAGATATTGCTCTCCAAATCATATTGTCAGAGCTAAGAACAAGAAAACACTAAGAGAGGCGGTGGAGATCTTGAGACACTGGTCTGTACTCTTTCACATCCCAGGAAATAGAATTAGTTTTTCCCTATTCCTAACCTTTCTTTGAATTGATGGAAAGAAAAATAAAATCTTCTACAATAAAACTGAAGTACAAGAGCAGCTATGAACATTTTGTCTGATAAATCATCCCATGGCTTAGATGGTATGATAACAAAGTGCTCAACTAGAATTAAATATGGCATATGGATGTTCAGAACAGCTGGGATGAACTCAGGTTTAGGCAGAGCTTTCATTCATTTGATTATATAGAAACCACTGTCAGGTGCTGGGATCAGTGTAACTGAACTGGCTGCATATGCTCACAACTCTTCCTGGATCATGGGAAACTTTTTCTGGTAAGTGCTTTCCCTCATCTGTCCGTTATTAGTAGAAAGGTGTGACCGAAAGGAGAAAGTTAGAGAAAAATATGAAGCAAAATCCAAAACCAGATTATCTATTTCTCTCAGCCCTAACTGCTGGAAAACTTCTGCCATTGAGGTAGGAAGTTTCAAGACAAAGGCAGAACACATTCAACAGTAACACCTGCAAATGGCTCTAGCACACTTAGTAAAATTAGGTTACTCAAAAAAAAGCACATGGTATGAAGTTCCTTGAAAACTCAGCAAATTTGAGTGAGCCTATACTGCAGTATATGCTGCCTTCCCCCTTTTTCACCCAAAATATGGGAAGAGGCGTGGTTCTTTGTAACACCAGTAGAAACCACCACAAAAGACACTCCAGGAGAGTTAAACTTGAGTTAACATTTTAATCTCGGAAATTAACAGTCTTATTTGCTAGTAATATTACAGAAAATTACTACTTTGCCCAGCCAAGCATCCGTACAATTTTTTCTACTGGAAAACTAGAAACTTTTGTCTGATTTCCTATCAGGAAGATTAGAGTTGTGGAGGTCTTACAGAGGCAGAGGATGGCTTCCTGTATTTCACCAAACACATCCACAAAGCCACATGCGAATGCAGACACACAGGCTCGCTACACAAAAGATGGAGAGGTAGGATCTGCTCTGCTCTGTCAGACACTGGTGCAGTACCCACCATCTCCCGTCTAAAGCCATCAGAAAACAAGAATAATTACATGAACCACTGGAAACAAGTCCCCATTCAGTCTCACACCTGACCTCAGCTTCAAAATCAATTTTTCATCAATACTTAATAGAGGAATGAACATTGCAGCCTCCAGGTTCTCATTATTTTAAAGTGTTTCAGAGCACTTCAAAGTTAATAAATAAAAATCCTAGCAGTTCAAGTGGGGAGGAATCTTTCCACTACTTCTTTTTTCCTGCCTTCCATCAGTGAGGTGCTGCTGTGTGAACATAACACCTGAAGAATCAGCTCCAGCTGTAGTTTAACTAAAAGTATTTGCAATTTTTAATAAATATCTATAGGATGCATTGACGCCACCTGCTAATTTCTTATCCAATATATCTTTCCCTCCAGCTTCTCATAGATTGCTATTGCTATAGAGGGCCACATCTCTGTAGTTCTCAAAAGTAAATCTAACACTCACGCTGACAGTGTAAATTATGAGCTAAAAAAAAATACCAGTGAGAGAGAGGGAAGCGTTTCAGGGAGAAGTGCCAAAGGAATAAACAAATCACCGGCTTACATAATACAGATATAAGACACATGTAGCAACTCATCTACATTCACCCTGAACAGAATTACAGGACAAGGGGAGACTCAATTAGAATAAAAAGCAATCAAACCAGATCCTCAACCATATGATTTCAACAGATTAAAAATATATATATATATATATATTTACACAGAATAATTACCAGCTAAGTGGACCAAGCAGAAATTTCCTGTACAGTTATTACATATCTTTACATTATCATTACATGTCTTTTCAGTAGAGTCAAGACGCATCGTATTTTCCTCTGAATTATGTAGTCCTGACCCCTCCGGAGACCAGGATGTTGCGCTGGGATGTGCTGCCTCTCTTGTCATGTGGAAGCACAGCTTTTATGTTACCAAAGTAGGACCCACAACTTGGAGGTGCGGTGATAAAATGTGGGTGTAAAAATGTAAATACCAGTGTTTTAAAGATAAAGCATATCTTATTGTGAACTGAGCCAGAAACTTTTCATTACCACAGCTTTTTTTATATTCAATGTATTTAAGTAAAAGCATAGCCCATTTCAGAAATGCATCTGCACTAAAAAAGTTCACTAAAGAGTATGTCAAGTTTCCTATTCACATCTGTTGCAACAAATGCTTCCCACCAAGACATCTCTTGGGTATATGACAGCATTTATTTATGTGCAAAATTAAACTGATAGCAAGGAAATTGTACATTTACACTTTCAGCAATATTTTTCATCATTCCCTGTTGCTTTTCACAATTTAACTGTTCACACGTCCGTTTCTTCCTATCTCAGAATTTCTGACTGTAAAATCCTCATGTTAAGATTTGTTTCTAAGAAAACAGTGCACTTCGCTTCCCAGAACCTGAAATGTGGGCACAACTCAACTGTGATTTCCAAGCCCGCCTGAAGGACATCTTATCTCGTTATTCTACCTGAAACTAAGTTGAAGTAGTGAGCAGATTCCTCTTACCTGTTTGTGAGCATGATCATAAGAGTTAATGTGATTGTCAAACTCCTGGTGTTTATAGTACTGCTTGTCACAGAGTTCACAGTAGAAGTTGGCTTTAAGATCTTCCAGAGCTTTTGCTATCGTGTTTTTCTTTTCAGCATAATCCTGGAGGGGGGTGGGAAAAAGTAATTTTAGTTTTGCCTTTGATGCTGCGAATGGATTTTGTGCTCTGCAGTTAATCATATTTGTAAACATTTACACACCTCCATCACTAAAAGCCTTCGCATATTTGCTGTGTTACACTGCACATATTTACTGTATCTGCTGCGAGGCTGAGGATGTGCACACTTCAATTTGCTACACAGCTGCCAACTCCCCTTAGGGGCTCTGTCGGAGGCTAGCAGGATTTCCCCAGGTTGTGTCTAAATACAAATATTTATCATGCTGAAGGCTATTTTCAAGTTAATTTCGATCCCAGACTTGCTGCTCCAAAGATCTGCTAGGTAATATACCGAAGCAGAATAAGCATGAAGATACAAACTCCAGTAATTTAGTTGTCAGCTTTTACAACAAAGTGCACTTATTAAAAAGGAAACAAAATTACAGAAACCCTGCTGGGTCCTTCTCAAATGCATGTACACGTGAAAACATGAGGAACACTTTCATAGCTGAGATGCAATGAGTATCCTCTATAGCTTCGTTATTTATCATTCAATAATGGAAGGACAGACACACATCTCCATTTACCATGCATTAGCAAAAGCATTACAACCAACCTTGCTTATCATTCATGAGCAAATTATATACAAATAATATTTATTAATTTCCTAAATATACTGATGATAACATGGCCTGCTCTGAAAGAGCATAGAAATGGTCTGTCATCTCAAATTAGTTTAATACCAGTTAAACATTAAACATGTAAAACTTCAATGCAATGACTTCTGCTTTTGGTAAGTCTGTCTGGGATAGAATCATACCCTGAAATCCCAAACATGGCAAGTCTGTTTAAGAAAATACACCCCTTTGATTTGTTTCACAAATTTTCATCACTGTCAGCTCTTTGGAATGGACCCTAAATTCCCCTTGTTTCTGTCTTCTTCCTTGTTCGGTCATATTAAGATAAAATACAGTCTCATAATCAGAACGCCCAAAAGTGAGTTAATTCTGGAAAAAAAAAAAAACAACCTAAACATATTTGCTAGCAGTTAGCACAGCTTTGAACTTCCAATACATTTTGTACATTTGGGGAGTTTAAAACAGAAAATTTGGTTTTAGCACACTATAATAGTTTCATGACAATGTAGTTTATTTAAAAAAAAAAAAAAACAAAAAAAAAAACCAACCCAAAACACAACAGAGGAATAAGTCATACAATTGGAATTATATCCACGAAGTACTTATTTAAAATAGTACTTTAAATACAATTCAGTGTGACTGGACCGCAAGCGAACACCATTGATTCACAGAAAAACTGGGGTACTCCCTCATCAAAATTTTGTCCATTAAAAAAACTGCAAAAGTCATGTCAGAATGGTGCTTTGAATACTGACTGACACATGAGGAATTCACACATTTCTAAAACGATGTTTCATAAAATCTGTTTTGTTTAAAACCAAAATGAGTTGGCATTTACTTTCAAGAAACAGCAGTATTTTACACTCTGAAATAAGTTTATGCTGTATGGAAACCTAACCTTGAAACTCTGCACTTAGTTCTTGGTATCAGCTAGAAAGAAGCTATAGGTTTTGAACCACTTCAATAATTACCAAGATGCAATGTTTAGGAAAGCAGTGGAGACAGCGTATTAAGACCCTAAGGAGATAATACTCCCTTGAAACATTTTAGAAGTAATTCTCATAGTCTACAAAGGGATGCCACCTGATTTCACTTTTTTAAAACAGGAGAAAGAAAATTCTGGATTTAGGGGAATTATCAGAACTCTGAAATATTAGATACGACATCCATGAAGGATGAGAACGAATGTGATGGATGCTAAGACAAGATCAGTGAATTGAATAGTATTTTTCTCTATATAAAGTTCTCACAACATGTTGTTGATTAACCCTCAAGGACAATTTTGTAAAACTTCCTAGCATAGCATAGTATCTTGAATAGTTACGTAACGTCACTGGTGTTCCTATTGACATAAAGCATCATTTTTAAAACAGCGTATTTATTATAAAGCAGAACCTAACCTGAATGCAATTACATTTGACACCCCAATGCATCCTAATGGAGCAGACATACTGGAACCTCAGGAACAACTTTACTGGTAAGTAATAAAATCTCATCATGATCTTAGCATTTCTACTACTAAACTAACTCAGTTATGGTTCTTTTGGGGGTAGGATTAATTTTATATTACAATATTACATCACAGTTTCAGAAGCAAGGAAACAATGTCACCACATCATCTAAATTAGATGCAAATAAGTAGATGGAATATAATAATGGGAGTTTGATCATGTGCAGCAAGGGAGGGGAGAAGCAGGACTTTTTACAAGATTGAGATCTTTAAAAATTAGAACTATTTGACCTTAGGAATATATGAATTACTGCATTGGATAAGGTCAACTTTCTGAACCTCTGTAAGATTTTATTCTGTACAACTAAGGAAACTGACCCTTAACTAAGGACCCTTCCCTTTTGTTTGCTTTGAAGCTGCTACTTTTATGTGTTCTCATATTTGGAAGTGGTCATAAACATTCATTTTTTTATTCCCTTTCTCTTGGCCATTTATAATTATATACAACCCCTACCACACTCTCTCTCAGGTATCTCTGAACAATATAGTTCTGGTTTATTCAGGCATTCCTTATATCAAGGTCACTCATTACCTTTGCTTGTTCTTTTCAGCCTTCAAAAGAAGACATAGTAACACAAAATACCACAGTGCCATACAGTACTTACATTAATGGTCTCTATTTTCTTCCCTATTCCTTTTGTAATAAGCCTTAACATCTGAATTTTTAAAAAACACCATAGAGCACTAAGCCAACATTTTTATACAACTCCTTTATCACCTACATCCTTTGCTGCTGTATAATACTTTGCTGGAAGGAGATGTTTCTATCCAACTACTAAACTTCACCTGCCTTCATAAACTTCACATTTCTTCAGCGGCAGCACTGGCTGTTAACAAGTAGCATGGTTGAGATACTCGCTTCGGGATCCAAGCATGGACAGTAGTGTTAACTATTCACTCCAAGTAATCAGGAAACATTTTAAAAAGGTAGTTTCTTCATGTTAGTTCCTAAGACTACCAGATGAGACTCAGGAATTCTACTTTAATGTGGTAGGAAAATATATTGAATCACCTCTACAAACATCTTTCTCGTTTAGTCCTTTCCAAGACTTCACCTTAATGTATTTTACACATACGCACAAACACCCCCTAATGAAACCCCTAATAGAGGGTGTTCAGGAGATTCCCTGTGGCTGTGGGATCCCCTGGACTGTGTCATGACTGAGGATAAGTTACCATTGCTGGTTGACATCGGGAGGCAAGGAACGTCCAATTTCAAGGAGGAACAGGGAATGGAAACAGGAGAATACAGGCTGCTGGTTCTCTGCCTTCTAGGCTGTATCGATTGATTTCGCAAGGAGCACAACCCTGGAAAAGGAGGCCTTTGCGAGCTCTATTGATTTTGATGAGGGATAACTGCCCAAGAACAGACAGTAAAAAATTTACACTCCCTGGACCTTGATAGTACTGGGAAACAGATTGCAGACAGAAATGACCTGGAAACTTACTGGAGAGAAATATTCCTGGAGTGAAGTAGCAGACAAAAAACTCACTTAAAATGGTTAAATATGATCAAGCTTAGTATCAATTTCATCAAGATTTGCAAACCATCCTGGAAGTTTTAAAAGAACTTTGAATTATGATACAGGTTGGTAATGAAACTCAGAACGGAGCGTCACTTAGTTTCATTATCTTTTTCCTGAAAGGCTTATTATCTGAAAGCCTACAGCTATAATTCACTTTAGCTATTTTTCATAATTTATATGAAAGATCTCTAATAAGTGATCACATCTATCAGCTGGTTTTATTTCTCTAAATCTATCTTCTCCATCCTCCAATGCCTTAAACGCCGTCAGATGCTACTGCAAATAAATAAATTGGATTAAGAGCGGTCTTCATCCACAGAGGGGCTACCTGTAACTACCTAGACTGGACTTTCTGCTCTCACTATATGAGAGAAAAAGAAGAAAAGCTACAGAAACACTAAACACTTTACATAGATAACTTTGGAGAGTTGAATAGATGCCTCAATCTAGTGGTTATTTTCATGGAGTGCACTTCAGACTCATACTTCTACTGTCTACAGAAAGGTCAGGTGGAAAAAAAAAGTAACAGTGTGAAATTATAACACATCAGCTACTCTATGGTGATAGTCAGTGTGAATATTCTTACTTTATAATAGATGTGAGCTCCTTTTATTGCAGTAAGCTATTCTGCATTTACTGTAGACTTAAAAGGGTCAGGCCTGAAGTCACTGCAAAGTAAAATGTATTACAGAAATAAACTCCCACTTCAGGATAATTTACTGGTATAGTCATACCAGAGAGGATTAGACTGCTCGGGTCTGATCCTCTGGATTAGACCACATTAGACCTGACAGATGTTCCAGTGTAACCTTGTTTCACAAAACATATTTAAAGCATTTTTTTCCTGTTCCAATAACTGGGGGAAAAAAAAAAAGCAAAATTGTATTTTGAACATTTTCAAAAGACTCGAGCTAATACTCTTGATTTGGCAAAGCTACTCTATGCATTAGCTGTGTTTATATGAAAGAATTTGACTAAAAATATGTTGTTACCAAAAAAAAAAAAAAAAATCAAGGGAAAAATCTGCCACAGCTTAAGAGCACACTTCTTCATAGTCAATTAACTGCAATACCAGTAGACACAATTAACAATGGATTCCTTAACTTCTTGTATATTTACTAGGTATTATAAAGACAGTATGAAGAAGCAGATTTTGCTGAATAAAATGTACAATTTACTTACATCTCCTTTGCTATCAATCTTGGTATTACTTAGTACATATAATTCTTTTTAGTATCTTTGTATATTGCTTTTTTTCTCATGTAAGCAGTCTGTACATCATCCAGTGACGCAACTGGAATGGATAAATAAAAAATAGAATACATTAATAA